GCCCTTCAATTTTTAGGGTAAGGATTTTAGAAAAAATATCGCCTTATAGTCGGAAAAATACAGTAGTCTCATTGAGGAGAACATGTTTCTGTGTGCTCTTCACATCCTATTTTTAAAAACTGTGTTCTGTTAACTAATTAGGAGCTTTGAGTTAAATAACTCTGCTCATTTAGCTTTCCCCAGAGTAACTGATATATATCATCTTCACATTGACCAAGTAATAAGGCATTCAGATTTTCTATCACTTGTGATAGACCAGGGTTTCTGAACTATATATATACAGTATATATAACACTATATAAAACAGTATAATATTTGAAATATTAAAGGAGATCTTTGAAGAATGGGGCCAGAATATCTGCTTCTATGGATAGACTATATTTAAAGGATGTTAATGAAGGAATGACAGATGTGGAACAAATCTTGCTTGATGCAGAAATAGTGGAATCAGAAATATTGGATTAAAAAAAAAGTGTGGATTACAAGATAGAGAAGGTATTCAAAGTGGAAATACAAGTGACAGGCCAAGAGAATGACCCAGATAAGAACTTTTTACTGGATATACTATACGAAAGAAGCTGGGTTAAGTTTTAAAAATTAAAGGGGAAATGCAAACGATAAACCAAGGAATGACTTGGATAACGTCTTTTTATTGGATTTACAAAAGAGGCTTGTTAGAGCCTCGAAGAAGCCTATGTGATGGGACAAAGAAGAATTGAAGAGAGATCATATCCTACAACAATATTTTAATGAATTAAAGATTAAGGTTTTAAGAAGTAAAAGGAAGGAATATAAAGTTGGTTTATTTGATCAAGGTTTAAATAAGACATTTATTTGCAAAGTTCTGGCAACCCTTTATGGACTTTTTGCTGACACCAGGAATGAAAAGTTGATGTTTTATGCATTTGCTTATAGATAAGGGATGAGTTATAGGAAGAAGAGATATCTGTTTGTAACCTTATAGGGGGTGAAGAGCTACCAAACCTGTTTATATCTGTTTTGATGAAGATTGGAAGTCACTTCTTTATATATTTCTTTTCTCTTACCTGTTTCTTTTCCTCTTTTTTCTCTTTCTTTCTTTTCACTTTTTACTCTCTCTCTTTACTTTCCTTTCTCTCTCTGAGTTTAGTTTGTATTAGTTTTTATTACTGTAATTAAAGTCTTTAATAAAACATATATGTAAAAATAATTAGGTTGGTGAGGATGGTGGTATGTAACCGTATGTCCCCTAACAATAAGGATGGTTCTTTCTGGCTGGTTATGACATGAAGGCTGTTATAAAAGGAAATACACTTAATTTATTTTTTTGGCCTATTGGAGCATTAGCTGTCAGAAATTCATAGCACTGATATCTTGTTCAGAGCAGCTGTCCCTAAAGCTATGTTACAAGATCCATCATTCCAGGAAATATAACCAAAATCCCTGCTGATGTAGATGACAGCCATTGTAGTCCAGTTCATTTCTAGAGATAAGGAAGGCTAAATGTTACTACTAGAAATAGTAGTAGAAAAAATGTGAACCTTATTTGGTGAACATTAGTAGTAAGAAGACGTAAGGTTCTCTTTAGTGGAAAATATAACCTGAGTACGTCTGTCCATGTAAATGCATGAGAGATGCTTACCTCTTTTATATCTTCATAAAAGAGATACAAAATTGAATGATGGTCTTTAGCCTCCCACCAACCACGAACATGGTCAAACCATGAGCCATAAGTAACTGCAAAGAGATACTCAAATTAGAAATTAGAGAGTGATATATAGTATCCAAATCTGCTTTAGCCACTTCCCTAAATTGTAAATCTAGAAAAAAAATAGCACAGGATTTTCCAGGTACACATTTTTAATCTTCGTTTCACAAGATTCTGTTCACTCCTAACCACGTATGTTGTTAACCAGAAATATCCACTTGTCTCTTGTACTACGAAACTCAGTGAAAAGGTTGTATAGTAAGATGGGCAGCATATATAAATTTGAAAAATAAATACATAAACCTTCTTCCTAAAACATGCAGATATGCAGATAAGATGTTTTGTTCTTTATCCCATCTAGCTTCTACTTACCTTTCCCAGCAATGAAATTCTCCAGAAAGTCTTCCCATGTTCCTGGATCTGGAATAATTTTATTCATGCGCTGGAAATGGAAGTAGGAAACAGCATTGTCCTTGGCATTTCTGGCCACATAAATGATCTGTGAAAATAAAAGTAACAGTTCTTATGAGGGGAGCTCAATTTATGGGGACTACTTGACATGTCCATGCTATTTCCTTGGGAATAATACAGAAACAATTTGTTACTGCTTTCTTCTGGAAAGCCCTTAATTTAATTAAATGAACAGCCTTGGATTTTCTGGTGGACTCCCACCCAAGTAGTAATCAAGTCCAACTCTGCTTAATTTTTCAAGATCAGCCAAAATTGCGTAGGTGTTGCAACCTGACCTAAATCTGATCAAACGGAAAAGAAAATTTAGTGTAGAAGTTTCAGACTTTCCATTCTTTACTGCTGCTCTGCAGCTTTTCTTTGCTATATTTAATTCTCTTATACCAAATAATTGCACGTCTACTTAGGAATTAGTCATACTGAATTTAATGATATTTATTTCCAAGTAAATAATGTAGGGTTGCAGCAACCTTGGGTGGAGAGGGCAGTGCGAGTTCCCAGATTTCTGATGCTTGTTATGAAATGCAAGTATTATGATGATCACTGAAAAAAGGAAAAAAGCACTTATTCATGTCATGTGTTCTAGAACAGAACCCTGACAATGTAAATTGATTCCAAGATCAAGCAAGCATCATATTAAGTGCTGAGTCTGCTTAGGCTCAGAGGCATTATCTTCTCCAAGTGAAATGTTTATGACAGAAGCAGAACATTTAGAAATCTTGGCCTATACAAACATAGTTAATTCTTGATTCCATAGGGATGATGAATGCTGTAGCCCCATAAGTATCAGATTGGAAAACACAGATCTAGTTCACCCCGAAACAAATGCTAGATTGATTGGAAAGCAAAGGGGATTCTGAAGCAAGGACCAGTAGAGCAGGGTTCCTCAACCCTGGCAACTTTAAGATGGGTGGACTCAACTCCCAGAATTCCCCAGCCAGCAAGGCCTGGAATGGGTCCAGTTAGGGGAACAGTCTGCCCATGAATCAGCTTGTAAGCCTGAAGCAATCAATAGATGCCAATATAGATCTCTCTCAGTGTTTCTCAACTTTGCCACTTTAAGATGAGTGGACTTCAACTCCCAGAATTCCCCAGCCAGCTCAAAAGTTGAGGAACCCTGCAATAGAGTACCTGTGGCTGTATGTTAGTAAAGAGTTTCGGAATGAAACTCTCTACATTAGTGAAGATTGATACGCTGAGTCAAGAGCTTCAGATCTTTGAATACCACCCCCAATAGTTCTAACCTTGCAATTTTGTTCCAAGAAGGAAGTTGGCAAGAGATGAACTGGGAGATGAGATTTGAGGGTGCGTGGGGAAGGCATTGCCTCTGCCAATTCCAAGCCTGCAATATCAGGGGAGACATTCAGCTTCACACTGCAAAGTATTTAATTTTACCCTTCTACCTCTGTGCCTGTGTGACTCACCTGAAGGGATGGGTTTTGGAGGGAAAATTTCTATGTAGGGGCTCCGCTGATAAATGGGTGCCCGGGCACATTTCTGTGCATCTCCTCTATGCTGGACCATGTCCACGATTTCCTGTAACCAAGTGGTCCCTACCAGAAAAGAATGAGAAAAAGTACAGGGAATACAGAATTCAGCCAGTTCTCCTGGCTATCCACATTTCACTGTTCTCCCTCTCCCCATAGCTCTGCCAACAATTCTCCTTGACCCCTCTTTACCTGCTTTGGGATAAGTGCAGAGAAGAAGGTCATCAGGCCGAGCTTGAAAGCCACTTATTAGATTCCAATTCTCTACCATTTCGCTGAGCATTGGGATTCCCTTAAATTCCACCAATTTGGGGCGCTTGATAGACTTGGCATCCAAGCTTTCCATTCCTGATTTGAGGCCGATCCTCTACAACACAGCAAAAGAGATATTACTGTATGGTGCTTCTTGGTCACCTCTGCCAGGGCTCTGTTCTCTCAGCCACAGATGGCAGAATGTACAATGTCGGATCCAATTGCTTTTTCACTCCTCTTTCAGGACTTTGAGCTTTCCTTCTGCTCCTCCCTCTTAACAAACTGCCTAAACCAGAATCTGGGTAGAATGTACAGTCGTGTGAAAAAGAAAGTACACCCTCTTTGAGTTCTATGGTTTTATGTATCAG